CCTCGTGTAGCTTTGCGCGAAATTCAAAACAAACTAACAAATCTTTAAATAAATATATAAAACACTTGGCAATTGTTCAACCTATTATTTAATTTTGATATTTTCGTAACATTTGCGGTTTTAACTATATTTGACTTTTGGAGGATGATTTGTTTGTAGTTAAGCACAAAGTTACACAATGTTCTCTGCCCATCACGGGTATCGAAACCCGGATTATAGCGTTGTAAGTCCGCAGACATACCGCTGTGGCACTGGGGGGCTTTTTGGAGGATGAAATGACCAATTTCAAAAACATTTTTGATGTTTTCGTGTATATAAACTGATAAAATAGCTGAACGTTCAAGTCTAAAAAAAAATAATACCATACTTATGATGAACAACATTGTTTATTTATATCAGAAGGGACACAGATCAACGTTTCGGAATTCTACAACATTGTTTATTTATATAAGAAGGACACAGATAAACGTTTCGGAATTCTACAGATTCCATCTTCAGTATCTCCAGCAAAAAGAATCACATCAATCCATTATCGTCAATGTAGCAATGTCATTTAGTAATTTACTTAGGACTGATGTAATTTCTTATATTTTTACTTTAGGTACTGAAGATGGAACCTGTAGAATTCCGAAACGTTTTTCTGTGTCCCTTTCGATATAAATATATAATGTTGTTCATCGTAAGTGTCGTTAACCTTTTTATAATCTTATACTTTTTCATTTATGAAAAACCTAATTTTGAAATAGATCAGTTGAAAATAAGCCATTATGAAAAGAAAACAACAACAATTTCAGGAAGATTGCCATTGCAGTTATTAAATGTCGTCTATTTAATGATGAGGTTAGATGTTGAACAAGTGATTGACCAAAATCAAAGAATTCAAGAGGGAATTAGATTAGTGTTTTTATAGCTAGGTTGAATAAAATGATAATAAAAAAACAATCAATGAAAGTTAAATAACAAAGTAATTCATATCACAGTGTTTTATAGATAGTAGAGAATAAAATAACAAACAATCAGTAGAAGTCTAAGAACGAAGACTTCAACAGGCATTAAGATTACTGCTATTCTTTGGAGTTATTACTGAATAGAATAAAACATAATCACTCGAAGTCAAAGAACAAAGACTTCAAGAAGCATTCATGGTACCATGTTTTTACTGCTAGTAGCAAATAAAAACAAAAACAATCAATCGAAGTCAAAGAACAAAGACTTCAAGAAGCATTCATGGTACCATGTTTTTATTGCTAGTAGCAAATAAAACAACAACAACAAAAACAACAATCAATCGAAGTCAAAGAACAAAGTTTTCATATCTAGCAGAGATTACAATGATAACAAACAATGAATCGAAATGAAAATTAAAGATTCCAAAAGACATCCAGATTACTGTGAATATTGCAACAAAAACTATTAAAGCTAAAATAAAATACTCGAGAGACATTTCGATTATTGTGTTTTTGTAGCTACTGGTGAATAAAACAACAAACAAGTAATCTAATTTTAGAATAAAAACTCCAACAGGAATTCAGTTACTATATTTTTATACGTAACATAAACAATAATAAAAACAGGCAATGAAACGATGTCACAGAATAAAGAATGGAAAGACATTCAGATAATAGTGATTTTAAGGAAAGCACTGAACAAACAACCAATCAAAGCAAAAAACAAGAATTAATATTATTATGTTTTATAGCTCGCAATGAATAACAAGGATAAAAATAAAAAAGTCAAAGAAAAAGATTCAAATAGGAATTTAGATTACTGTTTTAAAAGGTAGTACTAAATAAAATTATCAATCGAAGTCAACAAACAAAAACGCTAGCAGGCATACATTTCACCACATTTTTATAGTAAATAGTGAATACAACAACAAACACTCAATCGAACTCAGAAAACAAAATTTCTAAGAGGCATTCAAATTACTGTTTTTACTGCAATAAACAATCAATCGAATGCAAAGAAGAAATACTCCGAAAGTCACCCAAATTGTCGTGTTTTTATAGCAAGGAGTGAATAAAAGAAAACAAAAAACACAACCAATAAAAGCCAAGAAATAAACAATCCGACAGGAATTCAGATTACTGTGTTAGTTAGTGGTGAATAAAACAGCAAATAATAAAAGGCAAAGAACAAAGAAACAACAATCAAAGTTAAAGAACAAAGAAACAACAGCATCTCGAAGTCAAGGAACAAATTTTCGATAGGTCATTCAGATTATTGTAATCTTATAGCTAGCAGCTAATAAAAGAACAAATATTCAACCTGAGACAAAGAAAAGACTCCAGTAGAGATTCAGCCTGGTATGTTTCTGTAGCTAGTGGTAAATAAAACAACAAACAATGAATCCAAGTGTTAGGGAAAAGACTCCAGTAGAGATTTAGCCTGGTATGTTTCTGTAGCTAGTGGTAAATAAAACAACAAACAATGAATCCAAGTGTTAGGGAAAAGACTCCAGTAGAGATTTAGCCTGGTATGTTTCTCTAGCTAGTGGAAATAAAACAACAAACAATGAATCCAAGTGTTAGGGAAAAAAACTCCAAGGTCATTCAGATCATGTTTTTTATAGCTATTAGTAAATAAGACGAGAACAAAGTAATCGAATTAAAAAACAAAGACTCCAATGGTCATTCACGTTACTATGGTTTTTGTTTGCTTATTTGTTATTAAGCACAAAGCTACAGAATGGGCTCTCTGCGCTGTGTCCACCAAGAGCATCGAAACCCAGTTGTCAGCGATATGAGCCCTCAGAAAATCAAACAACAACAAAATCAAAGTCAAAAAACGATTATAACAGGTGATCAGACTATTGTGTTTCGTAGTGAATAAAAAAAGAACAAAAAATCAACTAAGGCAAAGAACAAAGAATCCAAAAGGCATTAAAATTACTATAGGTGTGTTCGAAGGAAAAACGAAGTTTGATAATAAACAAGATTACCACACTTATGATACACAACATTGTTTATTAACAAAAAGGGGACACAGATAAACGTTTCGGAATTCTATCAAATTCCATCTTCAGTATCTAAAGTAAAATAAAATGAAATTACATAAGTCTTTGGACATTGCTGAAGTACAAATGCCAAATTTAACGATAATTAAACAAATAAAACACAAAACAATAATCATGATGAGAAACTACAGCAAGAAAACACAACAACAACAAAAAAGTAAAACCAGTAATACGAACATATTAAAAACATATAAATTAAATGAAGACTGCATGTTGTTCAGTGTTGGAGAATACTGTTGGATGTGGAGGGTTTCTTTAATCAATAATTCCAGGTCAGTATTAGACTTGCAGAGGATAGAAAAATTTGATAGTATAGGTCGATGTCCTGTTTCTTCACTATGTTGGTGTATAGAGGAAACACAGGGGTTACTCAATTATTTTATGCGTTTTGATGAAAATTCTCATATGTTCATAAGCTCTGACTTTTAAATGGCGTTTGGTTTTGTCAATACAGGAGGCTTTACAGTCTCCACACGTGTAAAGATAGACAAGACAGGAACAATAAGGAATGGGGAGGAGATCTTTAGTAGTGCCAAGTACTACCAAGAATTCACATTTCATGTTAAACAACACCTTGTATGAACAAATAGATGGCGTTGCGATGGGCTCCCCACTGGGTTCAACTTTAGCTAATGCATTTCTCTCTTATTACGAACAGAAATGGCTTGGCACCTGCCCAGTTGACTTTAGGCCTATTCTGTACAGAAGGTATGTGGATGACACTTTTATTCTTTTTAATAATAGTGATAAATGCTCAAAATTTTTAGAATACCTTAACTCACAACATCTTGCCATTAAATTTACATGTGAGGTTGAGAATAATAATAATTTAACTTTTTTAGACATGCTCATTAACCGTAATGCTAATGGATTTTCCACATCAATTTACCGAAAAAAGACGTCCACTGGTCTCCTCACACACTTCGATAGCTTTATCCCGTTTACGTATAAACGAAACCTTACAACCTGTGCTCCACGTATGTTAATCTACACTCTGAAATTTCGTTGTTACATGGTATCTTGAAACGTAACTGCTACCCATAACACTTATTAGAAAACATTACCAACACCTTCCTAACAAAGAAACTCTTCAACTCCAATTAACATACCAACTGTACCCAAACTTACTATATACTCGTGTCTTCCCTATACTGGTAAACAAAGCTTAACTTTAAAAAATCAACTTAAACGCATACTCGGTCGTTATTACCCTCAAGTGGATTTCAGATAAGTTTTTAAATTCACATCGCGCATACAAAATTTTTCCCCTACTAAAGATCTCCTCCCCATTCCTTATTGTTCCTGACTTGTCTATCTTTACACGTGTGGAGATTGTAAGGCCTCCTGTATTGACAAAACCAAACGCCATTTAAAAGTCAGAGCTTATGAACATATGGGAATTTTCATCAAAACGCATAAAATAATTGAGTAACCCCTGTGTTTCCTCTATACACCAACATAGTGAAGAAACAGGACATCGACCTATGCTATCAAATTTTTCTATCCTCTGCAAGTCTAACACTGACCTGGAATTATTGATTAAAGAAACCCTCCACATCAAACAGTATTCTCCAACACTGAACAACATGCAGTCTTCATTTAAATTATATGTTTTTAATATGTTCGTATTACTGGTTTTACTTTTTTGTTGTTGTTGTGTTTTCTTGCTGTAGTTTCTCATCATGATTACTGTCCAAAGACTTATGTAAATTCATTTTTTTTTACTTTAGATACTGAAGATGGAATTTGATAGAATTCCGAAACGTTTATCTGTGTCCCCTTTTTGTTAATAAACAATGTTGTATATCATAAGTATCGTAATCTTGTTTATTATTAAAATTACTGTGTTTTCATACATGACATGGGCGGGAATTGGGACCAAAATGTGTGGGGGATGGGAGAGCAAAGGTCTGAATAATAATTGTGAAAGTCGTGTGTATACTATATTTCACAGATTTAATAACAGCTTTAGACAAAACATCACGTTTCACTGACACTTCATTTTTACAGCCCAAAGTAAAATAGTACCACTCTTTCTTTGCACTATTTTACATCAGATAAAATACAACTGTAAGATACAAGGTTACCATGTGTGTCGTCTATATATCCACCCAACTATAAACTCTGTTAAACAGATTACCATACCAAAAATTAGGGTTAAGTTTTATCAACACTTCGTAACTTAGAAAACAAGGGGGGGGCTGCTCCCCTTGTCCCTCCATAGTCCTGCCTATGTGTTCATAGTTAGTACTAGCAGTTAATAAATTGAAGTCAAAGAAGAAAGGATTATTCAGCTTTCAAATTACTGTTAAGAAATAACTCACTAGAATAATTATTTTTCTCTTTTTATATCACTCAGAGTTTGCAACTTACCATCTGTAGGAGACGTATACAGTTTCCTGCAAACCTCCTGAATACCCCCATATTCGTCACGGATCCTTTCGATTGCCTCACGCCCTCGGGTCTCCATGAGATCCCGAAGTTGCTTAACATCCAGGCCATAGTGGGCAGGCCGGCCGTCCACAGTCGCCATAGTTGTGTCATTCATCCGAGCGCTAGTATACTCTGTGTCGAATAAAACATGGATTAAGATAGTTGAATCACTTGATGTGCCTTACCATAAGCAAAGATATTAGTAACAAATTAGTCATCCAAATATATTACACAAGTATAACCACGAAAAGATCACAACGTGACTAACAGATTCGCAAGTAGTGACTCAATTTTATGCAGCAGGTTTGATTAAAGAGAACCTAATAATATTAAATCTTAAGCAGTTTTGAATTCGGGGGTAGAGGGGATTTGAATCCCTGGGAATTGAACAAAACTTCGTTATTCTAGGATTTATTCCATTGATAATGTCGTAAATTTTATAGTAAGATTTTGCAACATTTCCTTTGTATTTATTCTCAGATTGTTATAAAAAATATATTTGTTTTTTTCCGGAAACGAATTAACAGTAACCGTGAACATAACCTTTCAACAGATAACCAAAAAGTAAATTTTTATTTCGTGGATAACATCCTCATTTCTCGCTCTTGATGCCCAGCATGGCCAGGTGGTTAAGGCATTCGGCTCGCAATCTGTGGGTCGCGGGTTC